CAGCAGGATGTGGACCCCTTGCTGTGCTGACTTACCTCAGTTCTGTGATGGACTCAATCAGCTGAGCAGATCTCTAGAAAAAAAGATGGTTTTCTCCTTCAGTTTCCATATTGACTTTTTCACTTAGCCCTAAGCATTAATCTTAGTATAGGGAGATATTTTAGCCATTACACACACTGCATTGGCCCCCTGGGAGGAAGTCTGAGGCATGATTATCATTTATAATAACCCTTGCCAGTGACTTGAGGCTGACATGAACATCTTCCAGAGCCCAAGTGTTGTTATTAGAAACATCAGTCTAAGTCTGGTACCGGTTTTGTGCCCCCTTTTTAATTGAACTCCTGTTGAAAGGAACACAGGTATACATAAATAAGTCAGTTATATCTCCAGGAAGCTTCTCCTTGAGAACTTCTTATCAACACTAGCCTAGTTTTGGAGAGATTTCCACAGTCATCTGAGGGCTGCTTGATCTGTAAATATTGGATGGTCCCTTATAGTCACTTCTGAGGTGTAAGTCATTTATGTTGGGGAGGGAAGGAAGTTAGCACCTGGCATCTGCATAAGAAGTATAGTTCTAGGGCCACACAGGAGTCATAGAAATAGTTATTTATAATTCCTTGCACACTTAAAGTGTGAAGCAAGATTAACATTACCTCTAGTATGATCTCCCCCTTTCCTGGTTCAGTTAAAATGACTGCATCTACTGTAGTTGTATTTGGTAGGGACTGTCTAGGGGCAGTGTGTTTAGTCTTTCTTGTTTATCATAAGCACCTGAATGCCACCTTAGTGGTAGTTGTCTTACTTCCTGGATGCTTCTCAGCTTTGAGAATAAAATGGTGAGACAAACACTGAATGTTTTGCCTGGAAAGGATAGCAGTAGCTTGGCTATCCCCAGCTGTTTGGGGTTTTGTTGTTGTTGTTAGTTAGTTTTTGTTTTGTTTTGTTTTTGAGACAAGGTCTCGCTGTATAATTCAGGCTGGCCTCGAACTCTTGGTGATCCTCCTGCCACAGCCTCCCCAGTGATGGGATTACTGGCGTGTGTTAACACACGCAGCTTCCCTACTGTTTTTAAAGGACTTGGTAAAAAGGGGATTAGGGATCAGATTTTGGTACCATCTGGTAGAATCAGCAGTCAAATTAAAGATACTTGGAGCAGTTGGGAGAGCTGCATCAAAGCATTTTCTTTTGTTGGGAAGGCTGTAGAGATGGTTCTGGAAAACAGATCATTAATGTTCTTCGTCCATATCTCCTAGCATCTAAAATGTTCTCCCCCTAGGTACTGGGGTTGTTGCCCTCCCCCACCTCCACAAAATTATGTCCCGTTTTAGGTGTAATGTCACCTCTTTTTCAGTCATCCCCTCTTCTTTTTTTTTAGTCATCCCCTCTTCTTACTCAAGCCTCTCTCTTGGAATGGTGAAGGGCATTTTTATAAAACTTTGAGATCTGTTATGTTTCCCACTTTGGGTCATATGGGCCATTATACATGTATTTCCAAGCCTGGCATTAACCAAGTGGTCAATATTCTTATGATGTAAGATGATGTCTGTTCAACAAGAGAATCCAGGTGGCTAAATAAGAATTAAGTTTGAATCTTTTCAGCCCATTTTTGACCCTGCTATCACATGGAAGAGGTACCAACCAGATTGTCCCAGGGTTGCTGTTGAGGGAAAGAAGGAATCATGTTCAAAATTTTGCAGTTAGGTTTGTATAAGTTTCCCACCCATTTTGTCTTCACTACCCAGGAAGCAGCTGAAAAAAGAAGATTTCTTTCATGGGCTGTTGCCAGTGGTCTAGCTGTCTGTTTTGGTGACAGCTAAATTTGATAACCAAACTGCCTTACTTTTTTGGACAAGAAGGAGAGGGAAGTAGTCAGAAAACTTTGAGTCGGTGTCTGAGAAGGCCGTTTTGCAGTGGGTAGTACAGTATCAATATTAGCTTGTAGTAAAGAGCATGAAAGGTCTGTCAAAACCTTGACTACTAGTTATTAGCCCATTGTTGAGTAGCATTTATGATAAAAAGCACACCTTTCTTAGACTACAAATGGTTGAGCTAAACATACCACAGAGATTAGTTTCAAAGGCTGCAATTTTGTAGCTTGAACTAGCTAATCAGACTGGAGTAGCAACAGTATAACCTGAAAAAGTATCAGCAGAGGTGAAGCACTAATGACCCCTGGAATGAGGTCAGAGGTCTCATGTAATTAGTCTGTGAGTAAGAGGCAGCACCCTGCATGGTGCGACTTTTTCATTGTGAGACAAACATGCTAGCTTTTAGTAGGTGTTGGAAGTGTGGCATACAGTGGCACATTTGTACATCCAAAACAGTCTTTTGGTCTGTGATGTGTGTTATCGCATCTACAGTTAGGTTGGATTTAGGTATTCATGGGACAATCAGCAATGCAGTCTTGGTGGCAGCTTGATTTGTTTCATTAGGAAACAGCCCTTTATATGAACATCTAAATGAGTGACTGAGCCATTGCCAGTAACAGCTGTTTGGTTTTTTCCAGAGTTAGAGCCCTGGACATGGGTGTCTTTAAGATACCAAATCTTCTGAGTTGCCAGAACAGACCACTAGACCATCGGCAATAGCCCATGAGTCAATAAATATATAGGAAGATTAAGCATAAGAAATGTTGGCTACAGCTATACGAGGACAGCCTTGACTTCTGCCCACTGAGTAGAGCCAGTGTGTCCACTTTGTTTTTCATGATGTTGAGGCTGAATACCTGCAGCAGCCCAGTGAACACCATTCTGTTTCAGCTTAGCCTAACAGTCAGTGAATCACGGACCCCATTAATCTGGTGACTTTGCTTTGGGCAGCAGAGTAAGGGAGCCACCACTTTTTCATACAAACCTAAGAGGCTGACTGCTTTCTTACATATACCATTCCTGTTTGACAGATGACACAACAGGACATCGTCAGTGTGACTTTCACCTTTATTAGTCATGAGGTCTGAGCTGAGCATGACCTTTCTTTCATGTTCTCTACCACCCACTAACACTGATATTGTAGAACATTTTGAATATCAGGCTAGAAAACCTCAAGGCCTCCATGGGTTGAACATCAGTTTCAACAAGTGTTCAACAGCTAGCAGATTGCTTTTATGTCCAGAGGAGTGTACTTTGAAGCTGTGTTTGAGATCAGTCCAAAGCCCAAAGAATAACTTTTGGTTGGAAGCTGCCTCCCTTGCTTCTTGTCTTAGGCTAGTAGACAGAAGCTCTACTTGCAAAGCATCAGTCTCAGAGACTGGTGGATAATTTGCAGCATAGTCTGTTGGTTGGAGCCCCACTTAAGAATGCTGGTTTATGGGCAGGGGGTTTAGCTCAGTGGTGCTGCTGCCTGCCTTGCAAGCGCAAGGTCCTGAGTTCGATCTCCAGTACCAAAAAAAAAAGAATGCTGTCTTGCAGATTTGCTTAAGTAAAGGAGAAAGCAGAACACCCAGGTAAGGTACATACTGCCTTTAGTACCCAAAATGTCCCATAGGGTGCTGGCCCTAATTTTTAGTGAGAGGAGAAGTAAAGAAACAGTTTTTTCTGGACTGTTGAAAGGATTGAACATTGTAACTCTGTCTACGTAGATCCAGAAAAATCTTTACATGTTAAGTAGGTCCCAAAATTTTCTTGGGGTTTATCAGCAGCCTCTGCTGAGGAGAAAGCTGTAGATGAATGCTTCTGGCTTGTGAAATAAGACATCATCAGTATAAGAAACTTTAGAGCATAGAGACACTCTGCCCTAAATCCTGACCTTGCCACTATCAGCAAATGTCAGGAAGTCACTGTTCCGGCTCTTATCTACATGCAGCTGTTCCCATTTTGGGTGATCCCCTCTGGTTCTTATAGGATAGGGAAGTATGCACACATTTCCTACTGATGTTCAGACAACAGATCAACAACGTGTGGAATTGGCCCCATCCTTGAGGTCAGGATGGCCTCCCTGTCCTCCAAACCCATGTCTACACTCCATCAGTTGAATATTATAAGTGCCTCCTTCTCCAGGGAACAAGTTAGGATGATGAGGTTGAACATCAGAATCTTAACAGAAGCATGGAAGTTTCAGTCCTTCACGTTCCTGAGTTTTCCCCCAGTACACTTATTGAGTATGAATTGCCTTTAGTACCTTGTGCAAACCGGAGAACTTTAGCTCCACCCCTTTCTTTCTCCTTAAAGCAGCTAGAGTTGGGGAAGAGGGGAGGTTAGAGAAGGAAATGTGGAGGAAGTGATTCTGTGCAGTAAGGAACACAAACCCCACAAGTGGCTCCACCAAGTAAATGTCCATTGTTTTCAGCCCACTAGTCAACGCCAGAGTTTTCACTACTGACACCATTTTTTTCAGCTTTGGGGACTCCCTGATTTAGCTATCTCTTCTATATTGCTTTCCTGCTGGGGCTTCAAAGTCTGTACCTTTAGCTTGAGTCGGGTTAGACTTGCATAGTGGTTACTTTTTTAAAGAGTACAATTTTATCCTGAATATTTGTTGCCCTGCTGTTATGATATCCTCTCTTAAGCTTTTGTCTAGTTTTCATATAAAAGTTGGGGGTGGGGAGGTCAGCACTGAGATTTTCTCCCCTTGTAGAAATTTGAGTTTTAGTTCTTACATTTAAGTCTGAGCCATTTTGAATTAATATTTTGTTTATGGTGTGCTATAAGGGTTGAGGTTTATTTTTCCCATACAGGTACCAAATTTTGTAACATGACTTAAAAGATTATCTTTATTTTCGTTTAATTACTTTGGAACCTTTGAAAAGTGTGGGCCTGTTTCTGAACTTTCTCAGTTCTATTCTCCATATCTATGCTTTCACTAATATCATTTTAGTTGCTATAGCAACTTTTTTTTGGTACCTGGGATTGAACTCGGGTCCTTGTGCTTAAAAGTCTGAAAATCACTGTAAGCCTTTCAGTTTTGTTTTCTGCCTTTTCATGTACATTTTATCATTTTTATCAGTTTCTTCAAAAAAGATTTTTGATCTTACAAGTTTTTAATCTATGCATTATGTATTTCAGAAACAAAGAAAATTCTGCTCCTTTAGAGGAAAATACAACAGGAAAAAATGAGGCAAAAAAAAGAAAGATTGCAGAAACTTCTAATGTTATCACTGAGACATTGCCATCTGCAGAATCAGAACCTGTTGAAATTGAGGTGGAGATTGCTGAAGGTACAATTGAAGTGGAAGATGAAGGCATTGAAACATTAGAGGAAGTAGCATCTGCCAAGCAGACCATAAAGTACATTCAGAGCACAGGTTCCTCTGATGATTCTGCTCTAGCATTGTTGGCAGATATTACCAGCAAATACCGTCAAGGTGATAGAAAAGGGCAAATTAAAGAAGACGATGGCTTTGCATCTGACCCCATAAGCAAACAGGTAGAAGATATTGAAATTGTGGAACTTCAGCTGTCACATGTGAAGGACTTGTTCCATTGTGAGAAATGTAACCGTTCCTTTAAATTGTTTTACCATTTTAAGGAACACATGAAATCACACTCCACTGAGAGTTTCAAGTGTGAAATATGCAATAAAAGGTATCTTCGGGAGAGTGCATGGAAACAACACCTAAATTGTTACCACCTTGAAGAAGGTGGGGTCAGTAAGAAGCAAAGAACTGGGAAAAAAATTCACATATGTCAGTATTGTGAGAAACAGTTTGATCACTTTGGACATTTTAAAGAGCATCTTCGAAAACATACAGGTAATTAGGAAGTACTTTATGTTAAAAGTAAGTCTAAATATGTAAACCTTTTCTTAAAATAGTACCACAGAAAATGATAGCCTGTGCTTTCTAATGTATAGCTAGGTATATGTTGCTTTTATTGTATTACTTTGTTGATATATTGATGTTTTGAATACAAATCAGTATTAATTTTGTTTTGTTTTGTTTGGTACCGGGAATCGAACTTGGGTCCTGCTTTCGAGGCAGGAGCGGAACCACTGAGCTAAATCTCCACCCCCTAAATCAGTATCAATTTTGAAAGTGATTGTCATTTTTATCCCTTGCCAATTTAAAAAAATAGTTTGTAAGTTAAGGATCATAAATTATGAAATCCTAATTATAGTGGGACTTTACTACTCCTGTTTGTACCTTTCTCATGTTAGTATGTTACATAGATAAGTACATTTACACACAGTCTCTTGACATGTTTAGACTGTTTAACCATCTGTTCTGGCTCACTAGCTAGGCATTATGCATCTGTCTCCCTTTACCTCTTTAAAAGGTAGAATGTAGCTGTTCCTTCTAGGAGCCATGCCGTCCCTGAAAAGGTCGGTCCCAGAAACTACTGTAGGGCCTCTGGCTCTCACAGTTGTGGGTCCCCGGTGCATATTCCTTTTCTCTCTGATTGCCCTTGCTCCCACTTGCTAAGCATTCTTTTCTAGGTTCTCCTGGACCAACCCTGGGATCTACCACCAATGATTTGAATCTCGGGTAGGCTCTAAACCCATTACAATAACAAGGATGTAGAGAGAGCAGTTACTACCGGGTGCAAAGTTTTAAGACTTTTAGACACTTGTTCCCAGATTCTTGTTACACATAGTAATTAAGGCTGTTTAGACTCTTGGTATGGTAAATTCAACATAGGTATCCTACACTATTCAGAACCTTTCTCATAGATGCTAGAGTTTATTTTATGTCACTTGCTGTATACTAGTTGAAATTGAGGAACCAGGTAGATTCAGATAATGATAGCTCTTGCCATCCAAAATCTTGCTGTCAAATTTAGCTCAGTGGTTCCGCCGCCTGCCTCCGCCTCGCAAGTGCAAGGACCCGAGTTTGATCCCTGGTACCAAAAAAAAAACAAAAAAAACCACCAAAATCTTACTGTCAGTTCTTGGGAACTAAATACCAAGGAAATGTTATATATGCTTAAAAGACTCGGTAATAATTTAAAAGACTTTAAGGTACTAGTTTGGGCAACTAATAGGCATTAAATTTCTTGCAGAATTTGTATTTCAAACATGCATAATATGTTTTATATTTGGAAACTGTATTTTTGGTCCTTAAACAATATTTTATTGGTCCCTTGGTGAATATTTTTTGTGAATAGTGGGTTAGTTTTGCAGAAGAATTGCTATATCACCAGCACAGTAAACAAAGGTCAGTGGGTAACCAGGGAACTTTTCTAGGAGTTTCTAGTACCCAACAGATGATCAGTTGGCTTTTATACCACTTCCTAGGAATGTGAAAGTAGCAGCTTTTATCTTTTATCCAAAACAGCCCTAGTGACTTTTCTTTATTTATAACAGGACAACACATCATTTTGGAAATTTAAAACATTTTTTTGAAGTCCTGTGTGCTTTTTTTTTTTTTCTTTTGGGTACCCGGGATCGAACTTGGGACCTTGCACTTGGGGGAGGCAGGCGGCGGCACCACTGAGCTAAATTGTACTTTTTATTTTGAATTGGACAATGGAATATAAGGCTACTGTACCTTACGTTGTATGTCTTTTTTTCAAAATAATGGTGAAATAAGTTATTTTGAGTAGGTGTTAAAGATAGAACTATAGGGCTGGGGATGTAGCTCAGTGGCACTACACCTGCCTGGCAAGCTCAAGGTCCTGTGTTTGATCCCTGGTGCTGAAAAAAAACAAAGATTATAGAACTGTATGTCCACTGGAATATCAGTTTAACACATAAAACAAACTGAACTTTGTCACTTAATCAGTTTCTGTACTAGTAATTAGTGACAGGATAACTGCAGATATGTGATCAGTGCCATCGTGAATTCAGAAGAACATAAATCAGTGGTTTTAAATTTGTGTTTAAGTTAATAAAGGATGGATTATTTTTCTTTTATAATGTGAAGATAGAAAACAGTCCTAATACAATGTGAAGAAACAATCCTGTCCCTACCTGTAAAACACATAATACATCCTACTCATTTTCATATTTTGCGTATTTTTAATAGTTTTGTTTTTGTTTTTGGGTACTGGAAATCAAACTCAGGACCATACACTTGTGAGGCAGACACGGTGCCACTGAGCTAAACCCTCGCTATTTTTAATAGATTAATGGTTTGGTTTCTTACATTTTCTTCAAGTCTAATCTGTGACTCGATTTGCAAAGTTGTACATACTACCTCTGAATTTATTTTGTTTTCATGTGTTGAATAGTAATGATAATGCTGTCCGCAGAGGCTAAGGATATAAAGCAGTTTTAGAGTCCTTGCTTCAAGGAACTCAGTTGTGTTGGAGAGAGGCATGCAGGAACATTCAGTATGACGAGCTAGGTGCTAGTAGAGAGGCAAGCAGACTCTTACATGAATACCTGGGCTGCTTGTTTGTGATGGAAGAGACAAATAGCTTCCTAAAGGATTTACTCTATCACTTTTCCAGGCATGCTGAACAAAGGAAATGAAACATGCAAAGGCCCAGAGAAATGAGTTGTTTGGAGCACTGGTAGTAGTTCATATGGCTGAAGACTTGGGCCCAAGTAGAGCAGTGATGGTGAACCTTTTAGTACTTTCAATGATAACAGCCTGCTGTGTCACACATGCCTCAAGTTCACCACCCCTGAAGTAAAAGTAATAACAGGAGATGTGGCTGAAGAAATTGGAAGGAGTGACTTAGTCATCAAATGGGAATCTGCAGGTGTTTTAAGGACAAGAGAAGGGAAGTGATGAGAGACAAGGCTAAGATCTTAAAGCTCTTTTCATGTGATAAATGAGTTTAGGTTTTGTCTTGGAAGATTCTAGATCATTTTTTTTTTGGTACCAGGGATCGAACTCAGGGCCTTGCGCTTACGAGGCAGGCAGCAGAACCACTGAGCTAAATCCCTGCCCCAAAAACTATATACTCCTAGTCTTTTTTTTTTTTTTTTTTTTTTTTTTTGATACCAGGGATCAAACTCGGGACCTTCCACTTGCAAGGTAATTGGCAGAACCACTGAGCTAAATCCCCAACCCTCCCTCATCTCTTGGTCCCCTTCTCCTTTGAGAATGATT